TCCCACAGCACATTGTGCCTTCGGTGGCAGCCCATGGGCGGTGACGGGGGCTGACGGGGAAGCAGCCACGTGCAATGATTGTTTTCTTCTCAAACCCCTATTTGAAACTGCTTTCCGACATGATCTTCAAAGATCAACAAGGACATTCAAAGCAAGGGTTCAAAGTGGTATCCAAAATGAGAGGTCCGAATCTGAGCCGAAGCCAACGAGAATGTTGCCCATCCAAGAATAATATGATTCACTACCAATGGTCATATCTAACCCATCCTTGGATCTGAATGGCCATTTGACCTAGATCCACAGATCCATTGAGCACCAAGCAGAGAAGGTTTCCCGCACCATGACAATCAGGTCCTGCTCAAATCGCTGAATGGATGAAAATGGAGGTTGGACTTCCCATCCAAGATTGTGATTTACCCAGAATGTAGCACCATTACATGATCTTCAAGGATCACCATGGCATTGTGGCCATATTCTTTAGTGCATCCAAGGAATCATCTTTGGCAAATTCACCCCGAACGTTGATTTTCTTTTAAATAAAGGCCATGAAATTGAGAAAAAACATTGTGGAACTGCAAGGATTCAGTACATGGACGTCCAATTTCAGGTACAAGCTTATCTTTTGATTTGCTTCATACCTCACATGGATCACACAGACATGTCCCTTGCACCAAGCAGCTGCGGTCCCATAGGTTCTTTAAACGCACCGAGTTGTTTCAATATGGCCAAACAAACTCCAACATATGTGAGCGTTATCCATTACACTTGGTGCGGGCGGTTTTCGTCGCGAAGCGACCGTGAATAACATGGCAATCTACCGTTTAACCCCTGGACAGATGGTGATTCCTTTCCAGCAACATGCTTCTGAGGTCTTTCCGAGCGTTTGCCCTTCCCTGCATAGGCCAGTTCTTCGAGGAATTGCCCTGCCTGTGCCATTGGCGCTAGCGCACGCTCTGTGCGGCTGGGTGGTGGTGTGGTGCTGATGCAAGCTGGCGCTGCTGGAATCTATCGGATACCCATGCAATTCCTCATCAAAAGCCAAAAAACTGCAAGACTGAAGGTTGATGAACTGCTGTAAGGCACCACTTTTGAATCTAAGAATATTTTTTTGGATGATTGGTGATGTTTGGAAAAGTAGTATTTGATATATGGGATTATACGGGGTGTGTTTTGTTCAGTCAGCTGCTGTTCTGCTGGTTTTGAATCAAAAGTGGCTGGCTGCTTCAGAAATCAACGCTGTGACCAAACACCAACCACCACCTGCATCAGCAAGACGGCCACTGTCAAAATATGTCAACATATATAAATGTGTACATGCATGTGTAGGTGTATATATATAATATATATTATGTATACTGTATATACACATACACATACATGAATACAAATGAATACATATGCAGCATATGCAGTTTGCTCTAGTATAGTGTAACAGTATATTACACATTACAGTGAGTGTAGAAATTATCCTCATTCTCTTCTTTCTCCTCATTCTCGTAAAGAACCAAGAACCCAGGATTTTCCTACCATCCTAAGACTCTTTGAACATCCATCCAGGATACCAAATCCCAAACACCGCCCTCAACCATCGCGTTTTTCCCAAAAAAGGAAAAGTTGGACCCGTCAAAACATGTCAAAGCTGTCAAAACCCTCCTGTGAAAGACCATGAAAGTTTACTGAACCCAACAAATTGCCAATTCCAACCGGATGATCTTCTGAACCCAGATTTCAGGTGGTTGAAGCTTCACCCAGGACTTTTTCCTCACCACATCCGCAAGCATCTCCTTCGGCCAGCCGCCGGGCGCCTTCGAGAAACAACACCCAAGCAGTTCATGTTTTAAAGTTTAAAGCGTAGTTGTTCATCGGTGAAGACTGGTTGGAGGGGGCTGATGTGAACCCAATGCAATGGCCATGTGAATGGCTAAAGCGATGATAAACCATTGGAACGGGTTTCCAGATGTAGCGACACCCATCAACTGTATTCAAATGATTTCAAATGTGGTTAATGTATACAATTGCTGCTGATTCACAGATTTCAATAGATTTCATACTTTCTGCAAAAATCCGGTGAATATCAGTGAATCAAGCATGGCAATGGAAATCCCATTAAAAAAATAAAACCTCCATTTATAGTGATTGTTTTCCCATAAAAGTTAATCTTGCCTTAGAATTGTGTCATGTTTGTGTCCATCGGGCCATGAAAACCTGGCGGAGCCGCCTTCACGTCTCAGCTCTTTCAGCGGAAGCCCGAGGAAGACCTGCCAGGTATCGGGGGATCCGAATGGCCGGTCCAGGCATCCTGCGAATCAAGCACGGCGCTAGCTGGACACTCCCTCATTCAGATGCCAGCCGACAAGGTGCAGGTTTCAAGATGCGGATTGGTCAAGTGTCCACCCCTTAAAAAACTGGATGGTCAACATTAAAAAACCCGTACATCTGCGGGTGACTTAAATGTTTTGACCCACATCCCCCCACCAACGATGACCTGAAGCTTCCCTTGCCCCATGCCTGGGCAGCGGCAACTCCACAGCTGGCAGGTTCGGACGGAAAGTCCAATCCAAAACCTCAGGCGCAGTAGCTATGGTAACTTCAGAAAAACAGCTCCTGATCGACCCAAACATGCGGAATGGCGCTGAATTTGGGCCACTGGGGAGGAAGGGGCAGACCTGGCAATGAAGACTTGCGACGATCTATGAGTTCAGTTCAGCGTCTCAGAAGTGCCGCATCCATCACTGGACCTCTCTGAGTCCACAGCTGGGGATGGTCACCGCCAATTACCGCGCATCATCTCCCAGGTTGCCCTGCAGGTTCTCGGACTTCGAAGGGGGTGGGCATACTTCCACTTGTTTGGCAGCCCGGCAGCTTGCTTCGCTGTAAACACAAGAAAAAATATGCAAAAACTAGGTGTAAACCACGATATTTCATGTCCAATGGCTATTTCCCACATGGTGAACGCAAGTTGGGCTTGACTTTCTTTGCAAGTTCGACCGAAAGGCAGGATTTTGGATCAGCTGGAGCTACTTCAGTGATCACTGTTATTGCCTTAATTTGAATTTAAACCCAAATAAAAATAAGAGTGGAAAACACGCGAAGAACTCTCCTTGAACCCATTTTGTCCTAGCAAAAGCCCGCCAAACTCGACACCTCTCAATGGCTGCAAACGGCTGCCTTCCAGTCGTCCTGGGGCGAACGAGGCCGTTCCGGATCTGGGTGGCGTGGAAGAAATTTGGCGGAAAAAATGGAAGGAAAAGGTGGAGAAAACATCGAAATACGCGGTAAATCACAGAGAATCAGACTGAATTACGGTGTGAATTGGGATGAATTGGTCGAAACTCGAAACCCAGCTTTTTTTACAATGTGTTACATCCCCAGTAGCGGTTATCGAGTATCTTGATTGTTGTTGACCATCTGGTCAGTTGCATTCTTTAACACAAGTAGATTTTTGTAGGTACAAAAGGGTTTAGCCGTTTAGCCCCTTAAGTTATACAATGTATGAATACTTTACTGCAGGTATCATCCCCGTATTGTTTCCAGGGAATTCCAATCATCAATATCATCAACCCGCGCAACATGAGCCCGCGGAGATATACAAAATCAACAGGCCATAGCTGGGATACATCCACCAACATCCATCCAAAGACCTGAAATGGGGGTACAGGAAAGGGGTTGGCCAACAGACCCCCTGAGAGGCAGGCCTGAATTGAAATGGTGGTAAAGGAAAGGGTTGGCATTGCCAGCCTTTGAGGCTGAAGCCCATGGTTGCTTTGATTGCCCACCTTGTGTGGGCCTTGAGGCTGAGCAGCCCATGAATGCTTTTGCTTCCTTGCTTGCATCCTTGCAATTCTTCTTGCTCTTCTCCTTCCCTGTTCCTTGCTCTTCTCCTTCCCTCTTCCTTGTTCTTCTCCTTCCTCTCCTCCTTGGGTCTCCTGCTTGGATCTCCTCCTTGCTCTCCTTCTGTCTATCCTCTCACAATGCCCAGTGGGCCTGGGGATGGCAAAAATGGCGAAAGCGATAATACATGACAAACCGATGGAACGAGCTTCCAGATGTCTAGACACCCATGAAACGTGGTGTTTTTTCTGATTTCATAGTTTCGGGAATCCGGTGTCACCTTCGCAAGGACTTTGTGTCACGTTTGTGTCGACAACCCCAGCCCATGACAATCTGAATCAATGCAACCAGATTCACATCTGCATCTTTTCTTTGAAACTGTCAAAGGTTTGTTGATGTGTGATGACACACAAAAGTCCCGCATCCCACCAGATTGGTTTCTGCACCTGTGGTCAACCACGAAAAAATGAATAAAGTGGAGCTCTTGAGATTCCCTCTGACGCTTTAGGATCTGGTAAACTAACATAGCTATGGTATAGATGGCCCATTGAAATAGATGGTTTGCCTATTTAAGATGGTGATCTTCTATAGCGATGTTAAATTACCAGAGGGTACCAAATGTTCATCCCCCCCTTCCATTGGAAACTCAAGGATTCTGACACATCCCCACATTCTCTTCCACTGCAGAACTCCCTGCCTCTACCGTTCACCTTTCAAGCGCTTCAGGACGAAGAGACCGCCACGGCCACCTCCGATCCACGACATGCAAACCGGCCATTCAGCTCGGCAGGTGGGAACATGTCCCGATTCTTCTGGGAAATCATGGAAATTTCTTGTGGAAAATCGTCAAAAGACAATTTTAGACGACATGTCGGAGGCTCGCGTGCTGCCATGTCTGTTTGCCGCAGGGTGACATCCCCAAAAATGATTCTGGAACATTGGATTGGCCAAATGGTTTTGCGATTCTATATAAATGGCCATTGGGGTTGCCAAATTTCGAAGTCGCGTGTCCCACTGTAGTCAGTAAAATATATATATATAATATAATATAATATAATATAATATATATATACTACAAATATATATATATATATCCATGGTTGAGGTTTCAAAAGCCCATCATTGCTGAGAGACTGGGTGCTGAGAAAACTCGCTGCCTCGCGATAGGCGCATGGTGCTGTCACAGAAGGTGGTCCGGAGACGTCCAGTAGGCCTGGCGCTCCAGCGATGAGTTCACCGGTGATTTCGGGGAAAAAGGGCGCAGGCTTCATCAGTATGAGGGAAGTTGGCTACAAAAGCTTGGGACTCGGCCAAAAAATAGGAAGTTTCAATACATTTATCATGTTCTACCATGAATCAAGATGATTTCACCAGGAAAAATCCTGACTCTGCCAGCTGTAAAAGTAAGCATCAGTCAGTGGCGAGAACGAGAATTCACCAACTGTGAATGTTTTGAGGCATCCCAGTCAATGTGAGATATTCTTTGCCAAAAATAGGATGCAAAGGAAATCGATGCCATGAGGATTTTGCAAACCAAATCAGGTCTCACCCGGCCATGGTAAGTCGACGAGCAACACTGGAGCTACATGGCCAATTCTCAGTTCGCAGCAGTGTACTCTCTACAACTAGGAATACATATGCTCGGACCTACAAGTATGATGATTCAGATTTTCCAACTTGGGTACAAGTAGGGATCAAGTTGCCCTTCAAACAATTCATGGTCCAACCAGAGTATTCTGGGTGATCCAAATTCTGACCCATATCCCCCGAGTGATGACGTGAAGCTTCGCCCCATGCCTTGGTAGCGGCAACTCCACAGCTGGCAGGTTCGGAAACTCCAATCCAAAACCTCAGGCGCCCGCTGGCGGCGGATCTGATGACCGGCGACGATGGCTGTAGGCCTGGCTGTTTCTATGAAGATCTATGATGATCTGCAAATAGTTACTGTAGTGTAGGGGGAAAAAAACTGACTATGAAGATTTATATATGTAGTGTATTAGGGGGAAAAAAAACTGGCTATGAAGATTTATGAATATCAAAGAATAGTTCAGTGTCATCAGACACAGCCCTGTCCATCGCATTGCACCTCTTTGAGTCCAGAGCTGGTGAAGGTTACCTCCAAATCTCGTGCATCATCTCCCAGCAGGTCGCCCTGGTTCTCGGGCATGGAGATTTCAGGGAAAATTTGGGAAGATTTGCCAAAAAAATTGGGTACAACATTTCCCAACAACTATGAGGCTCAAATCCTAAAAGATCCTAAAAGTATAGCTATAGCATGCCATAGCCAGCGGAAAACTTCCGAAAGCCGCGGGGCGGGATATCACCTGGCCCCTTCGCCACCTTGACGCGGATGATGAACTTGGGTCCATCCGTTCCTGTGGCGGCCAAATCAGCTGGTGGTGTCACACCGACCATTTTGGTGCCATCAAAAAACTGACTTTCAGAAGGAAGGCATGAATCGGTGTTGGAGGCCCTTGTGGAAAACGGGAGATCTGTGACATTTGACACTGCTCGGTCATGTCAAATCGTTTTTGCGCTTGTCAAATGGCAGTCCTGCTGAATAGAAATTACTCCATGTCAGTATCGCAGCTTCCGATTTCCAGTGATGATTGATGATAGAAGAAAATCTGGCAATGACACAGAAAGGCTTCATGAGGCCAGAAATGTCGTTCGCCTCAATTTTTGAAAGGTTTCTGCAACACTGGCTGGGTCTCAGAATGCGGTTATACCCAGTTGTATTACCTCTGTCATATTCTTGTTGTTGTTGGCTTGCCAACAACCATAGCCAGTTGAAAAATCCAAGGCTATGTGTGGGCGAGTTTTATCATTCAAAACAGAATCTTCCATTACCAAATCAGACCTCACCTAGGAGCCTATCAGTCATATCTCTGTTCTTACTGCTTGCGCCACAGTCCTTTATATCCACATGTTCCTTACTATGAGACATACGGCTACAGGGTAACCTGAACTTGGGGACCCTAAAAATTGATAACGGAATACTACAGTCATCAAGTGGGCTCCACTCAAATGTTTACCCATATCTTGCTACAAAGCTGGATCTATGAGTCCTATGACACAGGCCAAGCCACCTAACCGAAGCGCCACACGGTTGTCCACACGTTTGGAGGCCAAATCCTCAGAAACTCAACGGTGCTGGAGCGAACTTCCACGGACAGTTGGGGATCCGTGCACCCAAATCATACAACCTTTGACGTTCGCTGGTTGCGTGGTACGAAACAATTTATGACCGAATATTGTGACTGATACAATTTTGCTGTTGATGTTATTTTTAAAATACATAGCTCAACAAATAATCTTGGGATGTATATATATATATTATATTATATTATATTATATTATATTATATTATATTATATATATATATGTATTTTTAAAAAATCCCACAGCATCCCTGATTTGTCCCAGCTTCGACCAGCTGTTCGTTGCCCAGCGACAGGCTCAAGGGTCCAAGGAGTTCGATCTGTCAAGATCACTGGGCTTGGGAAGTTTGGAAGTTTGGAAAAGAAGCTGCAAGATTTGTCATCTTCAATGATTTGGATCATGATGTTTAGATGATTTGTCATCTAGATTTGTCATGATTTGAATCTAGATTTGGAGTTGACAAAATCATGTCTCAACACATCGCATTGACAAATCATGACAAATCTACTATTGGGACATCACCACAACTTCGCAAGGAGTCTCAATTCAATTCGTCGTGATGGTTTCTGTTTAGACTTCGGCAACAGTCCGAAGCTTGAACTTGTGGCCAGGATTTGGAGGCAACAGGTCAACAAATGGTGGGTCAAACAGGCGGCGATCAAGGGACCCAACCCATGGCCTTGGGTCGATCTTGTGACCCTGCCAGGAAGGGAGCGAAGCGAAAGAAGACCCGATACCTCCAATGGCACAGCCAGCTTGGGAGTCGGAGGGGCAGAAGGCATCAAGCTTCAGGTGGTGAACAACAGTTGGTACAAGACAATCTGATTCGAATACAAGCAGCATTGTTCAAAGAACATTGGAATATCCAAGTATGAAGCAAAGCAATGAAATTCGAATCCAACAAACAAGAATGGTGGACTTTCGAGAAAGGGCCAAACCAACAAGGTTGGGCTGGCAGCAACAAGAAAACTTAAGGCTTTAAATGTTGCAACCATCATCAACAATCTACCGGTTACAAATGGAGTGGGGGGTGCAAATTTTGCAATGTAGCTTCGCGGGAGTTTGTGGGAGGGTTCCTGATGGTGGGGCCCCTCCCACAAAATCCCACAAATGTGCACGATTATGCATTTCAATTGAAACCTCTCCACATAAAAGCAGTTGAAACAACATCGGAACTCCATGGAACTCCAAGCCGAGCTACAACCCGGCCGTGATAGCACTGAAGAGGGTCTCCTGAAAAGTGGGACAACACTCTGCATGGAATCCATGGAATCCATGGCAGAAAGGTGGTGGTTTTTATCCCTCCTCTTGCGCATCGCCACTGGTTTGCGTGGAGAAAACCTGAAGCTGTCAAAAGCTGCTTCAAGCGAAATTTTCACAGCACTGTTGAAAATTGAGTGAGTACCCAGAACAACGGAATACTAAGTCTAAAGTGCTCATCAAAATTGCTGGATTCCTTGCAGGCGCATAGATTCACAGACTTTAAACAGCAGCGTTGGAACCCCCACTCATCACTGGCTGCACTTCTCTGCCACCAAGACGCCAAGGACCAGCGCCCCCCTATGGGAGCTTCAGTGACGTTCAACGCCTCCAAGTCTTTGGCGCATTGAAAGATCTGCTCCTGTGGCGCGACATGTGCCCCAGGGGTGGTCCATGGCCAGTTCCAACCCATCCAAGGGACCCTATCCTGCGCTCCGTTGGCCACAGCTTTCAACAGGTCCCTCTTCAGTTCATTGACCTGTCCAGCCATTTGGCATGCCCAGAAGGTGCGAATCCATAATAGCTGATTGCTATGAAACAAGCAGAAATTAACACATGGCTAGTCTCTTCACGAAAGCAGGATACAACGTATAGATCTCCGAATGATAAAAGCAACCAGCCCTGAGTGATTCCAAAGTCAACTTGTGGGGGCTTTCTTGCCTGCCACAATTTTCAGCCGCATAGCGAAACCACCAGTCCTTTCAATCCACTTCGGCACAACACCACAGCACCTCGACCGCTCCATTGGTAGACAGCGGGTTCCCTGGCGATGGACCTCGCCGTAGAAATCAAGGACAATCATCAACAAATTGGGATGTGACCAAAAGGGTTGAAATCACCGAAGATGGGAATAAAGCTCAACTCTAAATGGATGGGGAAGCGGCTAACTCCCATCAAAAGTGGGGATATCGCCTGACCACGTAACCAGCAACACTGCTTTTATCAGACAAAAAATTGATACTTTGTAAGCAAGCTGGGTTAGCAAAGTGCTGCTTGACTTTGGAAACATGTTGTAAGTTACAGTAAGGCATTCCCCTTGATCCGAGCCGCTTTGGCTCCGTTGTCTGCTACAACCGCAGATGGAGGATTAGATGGTGTAGATGCTAACCCCATATAGGTAGAGTCGTACATCTAACAATGAGGACATAAAAAATCACCTGTATTGACATCGTCCTTTTTTCTATCTCTTTGGCGAACGCCATACAATGGCCAATGGCCTAGTATCCAAAAATCAGTGTCTGTGTGTCACACAATATCCCAACCCAGGACTTTCCACGAAGAAAAAGATGGAACGGGAAGACTGTATAAACTGGACGATTTGTACAATGTTAGATTCCGAGTGTCCGATGACGTTATCCACAAAATGAGCATGCCCAAACAACAATGAGACCAAAGACAGCATGACGAAACCCATCAGGGGATATCCACGAGATTATCTCCTGCATGTGGGTGGAAAACTACTCAATCATGCTCAAATACTTATGTCATTTACATCTATACTGAAATAGAGCAGCCCTTTAAACCATCTTGCTGGATGCTTTTTTGGGGGTTGGATTCTGTCGGATTTGGAAAAAATAGCTGGCCCGAACCATCGGCTTCCAGCCTGGAAGGACCACGGCTGCATCCAGGATCACAGCAGAAAGCAGCGTGACGAGCAGCACCTGGAGCAAAGTTCTCAGGAGAATGTGCCAAATATTGATGTTTTGAACAACAAGACTCGGCAAGACGTTCACTGAAGCATGGCATCATTTCTTGAATGTCTTGCCGACATTCTCTAGTTTCTTGTCCCAACTTCAAGGAAGTAAAACTGGGCAACAAAAAAAACTAATTTCTGCAACGGACCTGCTTCCAGATTCTTGCGCTGCCTTCGCTCCGCCTCGTAGGGGCCAAGGGTAGGTTGCTGGTCACTTGGTTCCATCCATCAGTGTTTGACCTTGGGAAAATTCTTCCATTAAAAGCAAGTTTGGAATTGGGATCCAAAAAAATCGGAGGGTTGAAAGATGATGTTTGTATTTTTGGCGGCACATTTTTGTGGAAACAAACCTTGCTGTTGAAATTTCGCCCTTGCCTCATCCTTCCCTTCAATTGAGCCATGGGTGCCACAGACTATTGGTCACGATGATCTGTTGCAAGCGGTCCATGACGAGAACTTCATGTGTATTCCATGGTGCTCTCACTTCAAATCTGTAGGGCCCCAGTCGTTTTGATCAGCTAACCTCCAAAGCACTGGACTTGTTGCGAGTCTCAGCTGCTTTCTTAAGTCCAAGCCTTTCACAGCTGTGGATGTACGTCAGAATCCAGAAACAATTGAATCTATTCTCCTTTGCTCGAACTGTGATGCGCAGCGAAGAATTCAATTCAATCCATGCAGGTTGAATGGCCGCAAGTGACACTCCCATTTCTCCAGCAGCTTTTATGTTGCTTCTTTTGACGTATCTCTCAGGATATATAATAGCCACCCTAAATCCGCGACATTTTGTTTTCCTGTCAGTGTACCAGCAATCGTTTTGAATCCCCATTCTTGTTGGTAAAAGGAAAAAACATGTTGTTCAACCAAACATAACCAAACTGAATCATCACTTGAATCCCTATGTTTCTTGCTAGTTACATAAGCACTTCTCTAAATCCCCAGCATCAAAAGCATTCATTGCATCTGCATCGTCATTTTTCAGCGAACCAGCAAGCCGCCGGTCCGGCGCCGCTTCTCTTCAGCAGCCGCGTCCTTGGTGATTCTGGTGATCATGGATGGGTCAAAACAAAAAAAAAGACTTTGCCCTTCTATTGTTCTTCCAGGTTCTTCCAGCTTCTTCCAGTTTCTATATGTTTCTATTAAGCGGATTGCCATGTTTCTATCTCTGCCTCTCCATGTCGAGGCACCGCTTCTCTGACCCGCTTCCGTGCGATTTCCCGGTACTTCAGGGCCTGGCGCAGGCAGGTTCTCGTGTGGAACGACTCGGCGTGGGATCCACGTGTAGAACTTGCACTTCTTGAAGAAGAGCATGAAGATCTTACAAGTCTTAATGTGGTTAAAACAATCATAAACCACCCATGACTAGGAATGGTAAACATACCACCTATAAAAATTGTGATGACTGGGGGATGGTTTATGACATTGTTTTACCCACATTACTGAGTCTTACTGGGAAAACCCTCCCATTGATGTACGGACCCTTCCAAACCAATTGAGCTTCCCAACATTCGCGTCTTCTGGATCCAGTCGGAGCCTCCCATTGGAATCAGTGGAAAGATGGGGGGTACCCTCAGCCAAACCGGGGAGAAAATTGGCAACTCCAACAGAGATTCCAAGGTAATTTGAAACATCTACTGATTTGAACGTGTTTTCTGTGGTAATCCAAGCTCTCTCTGTCTCCTCCTCCAATAGAAGAACACATTCTCGGATTCGAGTTCCAACACGTTTGTTATGTTGGTTACTTCTTGTGGCCACGTGACACTCTGTCGACATGCTGGATTCTCGGTCTTAGTCAGTGAAAAGAATCAGCACCGAGCACCAAACGCAGCATCGAAGTCTTTCAGTGCCTGGCGAAAACAGCTCACAAGGCTGCCTGGTTGTTACCTGGCACCTGAAGATACCTGAAGAGACCTGAAGAAAATATGTATTCACTCTTCCCAACTTTACCTCCCAAGGTCACTTGAAATCAGTCGCCAGGCCTCTCGGGCCTTTCCCAGGTTGGTTAGCGCAGCACCACGTCCCACAAGGCCTTCCTGGCTGTGGCTCACATTGGGGTCATGGGCTCAGTGGCCATCTCCATTCCACCATAAGTCTAAGAATGGATATATATATATATATATTCATGGGATTGCATAAACCATGGCCATCTTGGCTATGATATTCTTATGTATAAAACATGTTGGTCTCTAGTCTCGGAGGTCTTTTTCTGTGCATCTCCAGGAATCAAGTTGTCCGACAGTCTCCAGCGCCGCCTTGTGCTGCGGGCATAGCTCAAGGGCTGCGTCGTACCTGCCCCGGTTGATCTTAACCCAGTTTCCCCAACCTCACACCCCATCCCTTTTTGTTCCCTCCAGTAAACTAACATAGTCAACATAGCTATTGAAAAATGCCATTTATAGTTGATGTTCCCTTCAAAAATGGTGATTTTCCATAGTTATGTAAACGTTTACCAGAGGGTAGGAGAAATAATGATTCACCCCTGAAATGGGCCTCTCAATAGCCGCCTTCTGGTCCCCCTGCCGCGCGCGACCGAGGCCGTCCCGGACCTCACGGTGCACAGTGAAGGCTTGGGAAAGAAAATTCCGCAACGGACGACGAGAGTATAGTTTAATTGCGAAAGAAAAAGATAGTTAATTGCGAAAGCTGATGTTGTCCGATTGCGAAAAAAAACATGGCTAATTGCGAAAAATGCCATGGGGATGAACTCGAAACTGTAGACGATACCACTCACCTCTGTTTTTTTCTCTGCTGATCCATTTGGAAAGGCTGAAGAAACGTTCCGATTCACGATACTGTGCATTTGGTTTGATGCTTCTGCATCGTCGCACAAGGAACGGCACAAAGAACGGCCCTTGATCTACGTCAAGCCGTGTGGCTCTTAGCACCAAAGCTGTCATTTCTTGGCATGCAATGTTTCAAATAATTTGAGATTTGTCTCTCAGAGGCATTACATTTCTGATACAAAAAATGTGATAGAACTTTTTTCTCATGTCCTTCAACACTGCGCATGCACACGCCTAGGGGCGTCAGGGGCCCAGTTGGGACCTGATTCGGCATGATCCTTGTTGGTGCTAGTCTTCTCAAGCATTTGGGAGTTTTTTTTTATCAGGCATGAATGCATTGAATGTCAAGCTTGTGAAGGCTCACCGGCATGAATGCTCTAGTGAAGCAATGCCATATTCCTACTTGACGCCCTCAACCCTTGCTACCTGCAGACCTTTTCAATCAAAAAAGCATCGGCTAAGAGCACTGTTTTTCACGTCGCTCCGTGAGCGAAGCAATCCTTCTCAAGGCCCGCTACCAAGCTCCACGCGTGCTCGGTCTAATCAAAAGAGCATCGGCTAAGAGCACTGTTTTTCACGTCGCTCCGTGAGCGAAGCAATCCTTCTCAAGGCCCGCTACCAAGCTCCACACGTGGTCTCACACGCCGCCATGCAATGGACTGGCAACGTCTAAGCAACACGTTGCATTAGTAGTTGTCACGCACGTCCACTTGCCCTGGCACTCCAAATGAAAGTTTGCGAAAGCACTGTTGTAGTCAAATCTTGGATTGCTTTCGTCGCAGGTCCAGTTGTGCCATGTCCAGTGCAAGCAGCCATCTGCGATGTTGTTCATGTTGAAAGAAGCTTCAACGCTCGCAAGGATGAGGCAAGCGAACAAAACGGATCTGAGCGCCATGGCTATGTCGACGCTGAGCAAAATAGCGTCCCTGAGTGCTTGAGGCAAAATCTGTACAAACAGCTACGGACGACCATAAAGATGCTGAAAAATGACAAAAAAAATCCAAGCTCATACTGAAAGAGCTAATTTCTGTAGCTTTCCAACTAAGACTTAGAATGTCAAAAATGCTCATATTGAAACAAATTCCAAGGTCAAGCTCTCGAAGAACATGTGGCAAATTCACAGTTTCAAACCTCCGACTGACATATTCCCAGCAATCCAAACTTTTGGGACGAAATGGAGTGAAAAAGATTTGCGTGCGTCCATCCTTGTTGGTGCTAGTCTTCTCAAGCATTTGGGAGTTTTTTTTTATCAGGCATGAATGCATTGAATGTCAAGCTTGTGAAGGCTCACCGGCATGAATGCTCTAGTGAAGCAATGCCATATTCCTACTTGACGCCCTCAACCCTTGCTACCTGCAGACCTTTTCAATCAAAAAAGCATCGGCTAAGAGCACTGTTATTCACGTCGCTCCGTGAGCGAAGCAATCCTTCTCAAGGCCCGCTACCAAGCTCCACGCGTGCTCGGTCTAATCAAAAGAGCATCGGCTAAGAGCACTGTTTTTCACGTCGCTCCGTGAGCGAAGCAATCCTTCTCAAGGCCCGCTACCAAGCTCCACACGTGGTCTCACACGCCGCCATGCAATGGACTGGCAACGTCTAAGCAACACGTTGCATTAGTAGTTGTCACGCACGTCCACTTGCCCTGGCACTCCAAATGAAAGTTTGCGAAAGCACTGTTGTAGTCAAATCTTGGATTGCTTTCGTCGCAGGTCCAGTTGTGCCATGTCCAGTGCAAGCAGCCATCTGCGATGTTGTTCATGTTGAAAGAAGCTTCAACGCTCGCAAGGATGAGGCAAGCGAACAAAACGGATCTGAGCGCCATGGCTATGTCGACGCTGAGCAAAATAGCGTCCCTGAGTGCTTGAGGCAAAATCTGTACAAACAGCTACGGACGACCATAAAGATGCTGAAAAATGACAAAAAAATCCAAGCTCATACTGAAAGAGCTAATTTCTGTAGCTTTCCAACTAAGACTTAGAATGTCAAAAATGCTCATATTGAAACAAATTCCAAGGTCAAGCTCTCGAAGAACATTTGCAAATTCACAGTTTCAAACCTCCGACTGACATATTCCCAGCAATCCAAACTTTTGGGACGAAATGGAGTGAAAAAGATTTGCGTGCGTCCATCCTTGTTGGTGCTAGTCTTCTCAAGCATTTGGGAGTTTTTTTTTATCAGGCATGAATGCATTGAATGTCAAGCTTGTGAAGGCTCACCGGCATGAATGCTCTAGTGAAGCAATGCCATATTCCTACTTGACGCCCTCAACCCTTGCTACCTGCAGACCTTTTCAATCAAAAAAGCATCGGCTAAGAGCACTGTTTTCACGTCGCTCCGTGAGCGAAGCAATCCTTCTCAAGGCCCGCTACCAAGCTCCACGCGTGCTCGGTCTAATCAAAAGAGCATCGGCTAAGAGCACTGTTTTTCACGTCGCTCCGTGAGCGAAGCAATCCTTCTCAAGGCCCGCTACCAAGCTCCACACGTGGTCTCACACGCCGCCATCCAATGGACTGGCAACGTCTCAGCAACACGTTGCATTAGTAGTTGTCACGCACGTCCACTTGCCCTGGCACTCAAAATGAACTTTTGCGAAAGCACTGTTGTAGTCAAATGTTGGATTGCTTTCGTCG